GGGGGGAAGGGATAGAAAAAGCACAGCCTTGGGACTGGGGTCAGTAGCTGGAGTTTGCCAGCCCTGGGGTTACATTGGGAACTGTACAGAATTTGAGTTAGATCGGTCTTACCAGACCTGATCTAAGTTAAACCATCTCCAAAGTACAGTTAACTGAGATCAGGTCAGGTATTTTTAGACCAATCTGACTTTCCTGAACTTCTGTACTGTTCACACTTAGATCGACCTAACTAGGAATTCAAGTGTAAGGTCCACACCTGGGAGAACAAAGCTAGATTGGTTGGCTATTTGTAACACATTCTAATCTTCCCCTAACCATCCCAAATGTCTATACCTAGCCTAAGTGAGATGTGAGGCAGCTGATCCTGAGTAAGGAATATAGGATTAGTTCCCTTAATTTTAGCAGAATGTATGGTAATGTTAGTAAAATGCCCCAAGTTAAATGTTCTTCAGCATTTTTTAAACCGACCGTAACTACACAAAATATCAAAACCTCTTTAGAGCTCCTGTTCTATCACCATATGAGGTAAAAGCACATTTGAGTCTATGAATATAATTAGACTTGGTGTTTCCCTGACAACCTACTTAATTTCATTTAAGGTGTAAAAATGATATCATCTTCTGGTAAGACATCAATGCGTAAGCCAAGGAAAAAGTGCCTTGCAGGTGATAAGAATTAATATGCAGGAAAATGAGGAGATCCTTAAGGTTGCTTGCTAGAACCAAATTAATAAAGCCTGAGGGAATGTGTAGAGAGCAGGTGGAGGGATTACAGTTAGCATGCTGAGTTTCAGCTAAAATGTTCATACAATGAGACTTTTCTTAAAAACTAGGCACATTTAGTTGCCTACGTTAATATATCACGTATATTACTTTTGTAGAGCAGTCAGTCTTTTAGGACTCAAGGCACCTGCTCAGAAAATGCCAGCTTTTACTTTTTTTGAATACTGAAAAATAACACAGTAATTGTTCTACTGCAAAGAACTCAGAGGCTAGGTACAGATAGTCAAAAAGCCCAAGCCTGAATTGATTCAATCTTTGCAGGTTAGGCTAACCTGCGTAGGTTGAACCAATGTACAAGTAAATAGATATTCACTTTTGATTCTGAAAATGCAGCTGCATGTCTGCAGTGGCTCAGGCTAGAAGCTGAGCCCCCCCTTCTTTTCAGCAGCAGTCACAATGCTGAAGGGAAGGCGGGGGGAGGGGGAGAAAGGGAGAGGGAGTGGAGAGGGGAGTGTGGTGGGTGCGTGGTCAGGCCCTAGCAAGCCATTGAGTAGGATTGGGAAGGGGTTTAAATCCCCACCCTGGCCTGCAGGTACCCCAGTCAGGTTTGTTCCCGAGCGGGATGTGGCCAGACACCGGCCAGGGCAGCACCTCAGGCAAAGCGGGGCAGGGATGGGGATTAAACTCCCATCTCCCCTCTTTCCCATGGGCACAGGGATCCCAGCTGGGGTCTGCCTGGATTTCCACCCCACTGGCTGCTCGTGAGGGATGAGTCCTTTGTGCACACATGCCCAGGCCAGCTCAGAGGTGTCAGTGGGCCCAAAGCCCAGCAGCTGCCTGTTGTTGGATATCCTGTGCCTGAAGCAGCTGCTGTGCCCCCTGCACAGTGCTTGCTCATCTGCAGCTGCCACAAGACAGAGATGAGCAGGTACTGTGAAGGGGATGTGGCAGCAGCTGCAGGCACACAAGCCCTGGGCACAGGGAACCAGGAGCAGTCCAGGTGCACAGCTACCGTGGCCCCAGTCTGAGCGGCAGCCAGCTGGGAAGGGCCCTGCCCCTATGGCCCAGCTCAGTACCACAGCCCCAGCCCCGGGTGAGCTTGATGGATGGTGGGCCCATGCCAGCCAACATCTGGCCATGTCAACACCCCTGCTGCTGGAGTGGTGAGGGGACGGGGGAACCTGACAGGGGCTGCTCCACCCCAGCCAGGCAGACCTCAGCTGCAGTCCCCTGGGGAGAGAGGGGAGGGAGAGGAAATAAACCCCTACCCTGCCCATTTGCTGTAGGAGGCCATGCCATCCAGGGTCTGACCACATCCCTGCCCTTGCTCCAGCTAAAGAGCAGAGGAGAGGGGCCAGCCCTTCTCTCTGGAGCAGACAGGATAGCCCAGCCCAGCCCAGGGCTGAAAAGCGTACTGGGATGCTGGGGGGCTTTGAATCAGGAAGGGGTCTGGGACAGAAGTTCCATAAACCAATTTGACACTAATCAGTTAAGTCTGATACTACATTCAACCAGGTTTATCTTAACCAGTTTTGCCCACTTTGAAACTGGTTTACGTGCACTACATTTCTGTTCTGATACAGGTTTAAACTAGTTTCAGATCACTTAAACCAGTCTGTGTAACTTTTGTCCCTACCCAGAAAGACCACAGCAGGTCAGAATGGTTTTGACAGTATGAATTCCAATTTGAAAACTCTGGTTTATCATGTGAATTATGTGTAGTGTTTGCACACGTAACAGTGCTAATATTGCATGGCACCCTGTACCAATCTTAAAAGGATCCCACTGAACCCCATGGTGCTGCATCACCCTGGTTGAGAATCGCTGCATTAAAGGCATGATAACTGCAAAATGACTACCAATACTAGCATAGTAGGGGTGGAGTGTAGTTGTAGCTGTGATGGTCCAGGAAATGTCCAAGAGGGGAGGAGTTTTTCATGGTACAGGCAGTCCTCAACTTACAACTGTTCCAGTTATGACAAATGGCACTTACAACCTCTGTAAATTACAACAGTTTTGAGGTTCTGATAGGGTTTCGACTTTACAGCGC